GCGGCCGGTCGGACTGCGCAGGCAACGGGGCTTTGCCGGGGAGCCTCTTTTCACGCTCGTGCGTGCCTGGGGTCGCGGGAGGAAAAGAAGAAACACCAGGGTGGGTGACGGTGCAGTTGGACTTTGGGTCAGGACCAAATCCAGCTTGTCTTCCACTTACGACCGTTCATCAAGTGGCTGTTCGGAGTTACCAAAAGCGACCTTGGATCATTTTTCGCACTTAACGACCATCGTGGTTTCCCCAGCCAAAATTTGGAAGTTTAGCAACTGACTCGTATTTCTGTCAGTTGCAATGTCCCCTTTTGCGACTTTCTGACAAGCAAAGTCAATTGGGGAAGCCAGATTCTACATTAATAATGTCATAACTGCAGGGATTCACTTAACAACAGTGGCGAGGAAGGTCGTCAAAGGAGGAAAAACTCACGTAGCAAGTGTCTTGCTGAGCCACAGAAATTTGGGGCTCGATTATGGCCATAATTTGAGGACTACCTGTAACTGGGGTGGGGGATGGTGGGATACATCCAGTATGCCCGTTCAGTGGAAGAGATGGGTATGAAGCCTGAAATGGTCTCCTGCTTGGGCAGGGTTTTTTTTAAAATTTGATTTATATGCCGCCCTTCTCTGGAGACTCAGGGCGGCTTACAATGCATTAAGCAATTGTAAGGGTTGGATTAGAAGACCTCCGAGGTCCCTTCCAACTTGGTTACTCTATGGTTCTATAGGGGTCTCCTCTTCGAGCAGGGGGCTGGACTAGAAGACCTCCAAGGTCCCTTCCAACTCTATTCAGATTACAAACACAGAGGGTGAAGCAGCTCAGGGTGTTTCCAAAAATTGACAGGGTGCGTCAAAAACACCCCAGATTTTCCTGGGCTGGTAGGGATCTCACAGCTTCGTTGAGCCCCAATGGGTTTCCCCCCAGCCCAGCTCCGGGTGCTTCCTTCTGACATCTAAAAGCAAATCCACTCCAAGGGATCTCATCCTTCTCAGGATCTCTATTGACTCTAACACCACTCCCTTCTAGCGCTGATGATGTTACCAAGATGGGGCACGAAATGTCGGCAAGAAAACCATCCAGCTCAGTGGAAGTCCATAAGTCTCCAAGTTGCCCCTGATCTAGACCGAGGAGAGAGGTTCGAGTCCCGTTTCCCCCCTTCCTCCCAGGAAGGTGAGCGATGCATGGCAGAGAAAACCGGGCATGCCAACGTACATTTGGGGACCCTCTGCTCCTTGGAGTGTTTCCGGAGATACTCCTTCGGGCTGGGCACTTGCAGCTTCGGGATGCCCATGGTTTGGCATGGCGCCTTCCTCTTCTCTTCCATCTCCTGCTGGACGAAGGACCGGAAGGTGGAGATGTACCTTCAGTGGAGAACAAAGGGGACGGTGGGTGAGAGTCCAAAAACGGGGATCTGGCGGAGGGGGGAGGGGTTTGATTTGATGCTTCTGAAGGACCCCAGGCACAGGCTGGCTGGGGTAGGAGCTGGACGAAACACACCCACATCTACACAACTCACAAAAGCTTCCACTTCGGCACCCGGATCGGACAGTTGCCCTTTCCAGAGAATTGACTTTGGACAATAATGTTCCCACAGCCCATAATAGTCAGCTTTCAGAGGTCCATTTGGCCAGAATATTTAGAAAGCCAGCTTGGATTGGTGATTAAGGTACAAGGTTAGAAACCAGGAGATGGTGAGTTCTAGTCCTGCCTTAGGCATGAAAACAGGCAGGTTCTCTCTCCCTCTCTCCCGCTCCTCCTCTCTGCTTCTCTCTGTCCCTCTCTCCTCCCTCTCTTCCTCTCCCTCCCTCTTCCTCTCTCCCTCCCTCTCTCCTCTCTCTCTCTTCCTCTCTCTTTCCCTCCCTCCTCTCTCTCTGCTTCTCCTTCTCCCTCCTTCTCCCCTCCTTCTTGCTCCCCTTCCTCTCTCTCCCTCTTTCTCTCTCCCCCTCTCCTTTCTCCCCCCTCTCTCCTCTCTTCCTACTTCTCCCTCTCCCTCTCCCTCCTCTCCCTCCTCTCTCTCCCTTTCCCTCTTTCTCCCTCTCCCTCCCTCTCTCCCTCCTCTCTCCCTCCTCTCTCTCTGCTTTTCCCTCTCCCTCTCTTTCTCCTCTCCTTCTTGCTCTCCTTCCTCTCCCTCTTCTCTCTCCCCTTCTCCTCTCTCCCTTTCCCCTCTTCCCCTCTTCCCTCTCTCTCTGCTTCTCTCTCTTCCTTTCTCCTCTCCCTCTTCCTCCCTCTCCTCTCTCCCTCCCTCTCTCCCTCCTCTCTCTCTACTCTCTCTGCTTCTCCCTCTCCCTCTTTCTTTTCTCCCTCTTCCTCCCTCTCCCTCCCTCTCTCCTCTCTCTCCCTCCCTCTCTCCCTCTACTCTCTCTGCTTCTCTCTCTCCCTCTTTCTCCTCCTCCCTCTCTCCCTCTTTCTCTCTCTGCTTCTCCCTATCCCTCTTTCTCCTCTCCTTGCTCTCCTTCCTCTCTCTCCCTCTTTCTCTTTCTCCCTCTCCTCTCTCCCTTTCCCCTCTTCCCCTCTTCCCTCTCTCTCTGCTTCTCCCTCTCCCTCTTTCTCCTCTCCCTCTTCCTCCCTCTCCCTCCCTCTCCCTCTCCTCTCTCCCTCCCTCTCTCCCTCTACTCTCTCTGCTTCTCTCTCTCCCTCTTTCTCCTCCTCCTCCCTCTCTCCCTCTTTCTCCCTCTGCTTCTCCCTATCCCTCTTTCTCCTCTCCTTGCTCTCCTTCCTCTCTCTCTCTCCTCTTCTCTTTCTCCTCTCCTCTCTTCCCTCCTCTCTCCCTCCCTCTCTCCCTCCTCTCTCCTTCCTCTCTCTGCTTTTCCCTCTCCCTCTTTCTCCTCCTTCTCCCTCTCCTCCCTCTCTTCCTCTTTCTGTCTCTGCTTCTCCCTATCCCTCTTTTTCCTCTCCTTGCTCTCCTTGCTCTCTCTCCCTCCTTCTCTTTCTCCCTCTCCTCTCTCCCTCCCTCTCTCCCTCCTCTCCCTCTCCTTCTCCCTCTCCCTCTCCTTCTCCTCTCCTTGCTCTCCTTCCTCTCCCTCTTCTCTCTCTCCCTCTCCTTTCTCCCCCTCTCTCCTCTCTCCTCCTCTTTCCTCTCTCTCTGCTTCTCTCTCTTCCTCTTTCTCCTTTCCCTCTCTCTCCCTCTCCCTCTCTCTCCCTCTCGTCTCTCCCTCCCTATCTCTCTCCTCTCTCTGCTTCTCCCTCTCCCTCTTTCTCCTCCTTCTCCCTCTCCTTCCTGTCTCTCTCTTTCTCTTTCTCTTTCTCCCTCTCCTCTCTCCCTCCCTCCTCTCTCCTTCCTCTCTCTCTGCTTCTCCCTCTCTTTCTCCTCTCCTTCTTGCTCTCCTTCCTCTCTCTCCCTCTTTCTCTTTCTCTCTCTCCTCCATCCCTCCCTATCTCCCTCCTCTCTCTTTGCTTCTCCCTCTCTTTCTTCTCTCCTTTCTCTCTCCCTCTTCTCCCTCCCTCCCTCTCTCCCTCATCTCTCTCTGCTTCTCCCCATCCCTCTTTCTCCTCTACTTCTTGCTCTCCTTCCTATCTCTCCCTCTTTCTCCCTCTCCTCCCTCCCTCCTCTCTCCCTCCTCTCTCTCTGATTCTCCCTCTCTTTCTCCTCTCCTTCTTGCTCTCTTTCCTCTCCCTCTTCTCTCTCTCCATCTCCCTCCCTCTCCCTCCTCTCTCTCTGCTTCTCCCTCTCTTTCTTCTCTCCCTCTCCTTCCTCTCTCTCCATTCACCACCTCGAATTGGCTGCGTGATGCCTGTTACAGTCCCTACCTTAACGGTGGCTTGGTGGGCTCTTCCTCCCTGGTGGGCAGCCAGTGGTAGATGCTCTCCTGTTGCTGCAATTGAGGCTGAGGGCAGAGAATTTCAGCCATTTCAGCTGGGGGTCCTGCAAAAAGCTGGGGTGAAATTACAGAAGGGTGAATTGGGGGGGGGGGAAGAGAAGAGGGTTTAGTGGGCTTCTCAAGTCGGGAAATTAACTGTGGGGAGCAGCTAGCCTAGGAAGAAGCAACCCTCCCCCTTGGGGAACAGCAGAAGGAGACAAGGGTCCAGATCCACCCCCCACTGAGGTCTCTCAAATCTACAGGTTGGTAGAGGGCAAGGGTCCGGCAACCTTGAAAAGCCCCCCAATCAATCCATTTTCTCACAATTCAGCCCTCCCACCCCTGAATTTGAGGGAGAGGGCGAGGGTGGCACTCACTCCAGATGCAGGGCAAGAAATCGGGCCCTGCTTTTTGGCAAGGGATGGGGTTTCCTCTCTCCCCCCCGACACACCTCTGGATGGAAATGAGGCTTCCACCGTCCGGTAGTGGCAGTTGGTTCCGAGGGGGAGGAGCCTGCAGAGGCCCCACCCATAGGGCCTGAGGCTCTGGATGGGGGCCAGGACCGCAGCCCACCCACTGGGGGGGGGCATGAGTCCCATTGACCCAGGGGTGAAATCCAGCAGGTTGTGACAGGTTCTGGAGAACCGGTAGCAGAAATTTTGAGTTGTTTGGAGAACTGGCAAATATCACCTGGCTGGGTGGGGAGTGGGATGGGAATGGAGATTTTGCAATATCCTTCCTCTGCCATACCCACCGGTAGTAAAAAAAATTGGATTTCACCACTGCACTGACCCCTATTGGCAGGATCCTCTATAAAGTCTCCATCATATTATTTCATATCTTTCGGAATCGGGGTAAGATGGAAGGTCCTGGCAGGATATGGGGGACCCCCGCCAAACCCTATTTTGGGCTCCCTCCCCATAGCCTGAGCCACAGATTAACCCACCATGGAAGCCCAGAGAGTGGACCATTGGGAGTCAACCCCCAGGATGATTTTTGGGGGTAATGAAGGACCCACATCCGTTCCTTCCATTTTGAAATTGTGGGTGGGTGGGCCACAAGGATTCTCCCCAAGCTGCAGAAGGGACCTCAGCCTCACAGGTAATGGTGAGCACCGGCCCGAGAGGTAGACTCAAGTCACCTCCACCAAGGAAAGAGTTCATAAGGAGATCTTTGACGCCAGGAGAAAGCCAACCCTAATCAAGAGCATTCCATGCCACCGGATCTCAAGGAGTTCGAAGAATAACAACAGAAGATAGCAAGGGGAGCAGAGCTGGAAGGGGCCTTGGAGGTCATCTAGTCCAACCATCTGCTCAAGCAGGAGACCTTTACAGAGTCAAAGAATAACAGAGTTGGAAGGGACCTTGGAGGTCATCTGCTTAATCATTCTGGACACAAAGCTGCAAGATGTCCAGAAGAAGACTGTGTTGTCTTCTTCTGGAGGTCTTGCACCAGGCTGGTCCGGGGTTCCTTTTTAAACTCCTTTTGAAAGGTCAAAGGTTTACTCAGTGTAGAAAAGGGTGGAGAGCGATACTATTGTTGTTGTGTATAAATTTGCAACAACAGCAGAAGTATTCAGCCAGTATGTTATATACCGTTTCCTTGAAAATAAGCCCTAGCATTTTACGCGTGTGCCTAATATAAGCCCTATCCCCAAAAATAAGCCCTACTTAAGAGCCTGCACAGCCACCGGCCTGCCCATTCGGTCTTGTTGCTCACGGTGCTGCAGCCACGAGGCGAGGTGGGGTGCTGCAGCCACGAGATGAGGCCCCATGGGCCCTGCATGGGCTTACCTCAGGGTCCCTGCAGCCAAGCCATCCACAGCCCGAAACCTGCCTCGCAGTGGCAGCACCAGCAACCATGGCTTCAACGGAGCAGGAGGCCAAGCGGTGTGGTGATGGTGCCGTGGCCATGAGGTGAGGCATGTGTCAGGGCCTGGCTGGCCTGGCTGTGGGGGCCCAGAAGTAATGTGCTGCGAGGCATGTGGGTCAGCTACACCCGCCTCACCTCATAGCCGCAGCCCCGGTGCGTTGCTCGGCCTTGTGCTCCATTGTGGCCCTGAGCAAGGAGAAGAAGTGGGCCGGTGGCCATGCTGGGTCCTGCTTGATGGGGCTACTGGTGCCATGGCCACAAGGCAAGGCAGGTATCAGTGTGTGGGTGGCCTGGCTGAGGGGATCCTGAGGTAAGCCAGTGCGGGGCAGGTGGGGCAGCTCCATCCCTCCTGCCTTGTGGTGGCAGTGCTGGTGCATGGAGCGGCCCCCTGCCCCACCACAAGCAAACAGAAGTGGGTCTCCTGTACTTGGGGAAAAAATAAGACATCACCAAAAATAAGTCCTAGTGCTTATTTTGGGACCCAAAAGAAAACAAGACCTGGTCTTATTTTGGGGGAAACACGGGTATGTTATGTTACATACAGTATTTTGATGGTAGCAAGGTTACTTCATGCGCAAACATGGAAGGACCCTTTGATTCCCAGATCTGCCAGATTTGATGGAGTTAGCAGAGACGGTTATACTGACCGCTTTGATTAAAGAAAAAAAACCCCCACAATTCCTTTTTTGGAAACCGCTTTCGGACTTTGTGCTTGAGGTGGAAAAAAAATTGGAAACTTTGCTTTTGGGTTTTACCAACGAGATAGATTTATTTTTATAAAAGTGGCTAGTTTATACTATTGTGTAAAAGTAAAAAAAAAAAAGAGATTTGATGTTACTATCTTATTCTACTGCACCAAAGGGAGTCAGAAGTCAGTGGCTTTACCTTTCTTTCCTTTTCCCTTCTTTTCTACGCTTTCTCCTTCCCTATTCTTACGATTATTTGCTTTTGTGTTTTTGTATTTTATATTATAAACTAACAAAAAGAAAATCAGACATAGAAATATCCAGCCAGTAGATGGTTGTGTTTGTATGTTTGCTAGGTATAATCTATGATACAGTATATGCTCTATGTCTTTTTTGTTCGGAAGAAGGTTTCCTATCAACTGTTATATATAAGCAGTTAAGCAGGAAAGGCACATGGTGACTGTGCACTTTATTTGTTCTATAGTGATATATATATATGTTTTTCTTTCTTTTTCGTAGGTTTTATGTGTCTTTCTCTTTAGCCAGGTTCTACCTACGTAAACCAAGATGTTATGCAGCCCTAGTTCAGTGAAATCGCAATACACTAGTTTCTGGGCTTTTCCCCCCCTCTCTTTCTGGCAGCCAGCAGACCTTTTGCTGCCCATTGGGAGACTAAGATAGATCTATTTCAGCGTTATAAGGCCCCATCAGTTAGCCACACCCTCATCTCATGTGGGTCTTATAAGGCCGAAATAGATCTATCTTAGTCTCCCAATGGGCAGCAAAGGTTCTGCTGGCTGCCAGAAAGAGAGAGAGAGAGAGAGAGAGAGAGAGAGAGAGAGGGAGGGAGGGAGGGAGGGAGGGAGAGAGAGAGAGAGAGAGAGAGAGAGAAAGCCCAGAAACTAGTGAATTGTGATTTCACTGAACTAGGGCTACATAACATCTTGGTTTATGTAGGTAGAACCTGGCTAAAGAGAAAGACACATAAAACCTACGAAAAAGAAAGAAAAACAAATATTGTACCTTTACAGGGAGGATACATGAGATGAGGGTGTGGTTAACTGATGAGGCCTTATAAAGCCGAAATAGATCTATCTTAGTTGGGTGTGTGTATGTAACTAACATTTTAACATTTTAACTAACATGTAACATTTTAACTAACAAACTTATAATGACGTGGGAAAACACCTGAGATTTTAACTTTATATATATATGTGTCTTCTTAAGTTTTCGTGGGTGTGCATATGCAAAAAATTAAAATCTCGGGTGTTTTCCTGTGTCATTGTAAATAAGTTGGTTAAAATATTTAAATTCTGGTTAAAATCCCAGCTTAAAATCTTCTAAAAATCCTTACAGAGCTCTCTGCAAGGTCTTTAAAACCTCAGCTAAAATCCTACCAGTGACTTTAAAAGTTTTTCTTATAGCAACGTTTCGACAGGCTCACAACCCTGTCATCTTCAGGCTTGTTTCATTTAGAAGCGAAGGGATCTCTGTTGCGAGGTCGGAGCTGTCGCGTATCTATAGTTGCTGCTGCTGACATATGCCGGTTAGCCTGTAACTCTGTGTGGACAGCAGTTTTTCTTCCTGCTTCCTCATCCTGGCTGTTTGGCTGCGTGTTACCGGCCCAGCTTTCTCAGACTCTAATAATAGAGAATCTGTTGTGAGCCTGTCGAAACGTTGCTGTAAGAAAAACTTTTAAAGTCACTGGTAGGATTTTAGCTGAGGTTTTAAAGGACCTTGCAGAGTGCTCTGTAAGGATTTTTAGAAGATTTTAAGCTGGGATTTTAACCAGAATTTTAAATATTTTAACCAACTTATTTACAATGACGCGGGAAAACACCCGAGATTTTAATTTTTTGCATATATATATATATATATTCTTCTAGCCAGGTTTTCCCTACGTAACCAAGGTTTTTCTGCAGCCCCAGCTCAGTAGAATTACATCCACTCGATTCTGGGCTTTTTTCCTTTCTAGCAGGCAGCAAGCTCTTCCTGTTAGGTGGGAGACCTATATAGATCTATTTCTAGCTCGTTTGCTTTCATCAGTAGGCCACACCCACATCTTATGTATCCTCCCTGTAAAGGTATAGTATCTATTTTCTTATATATATATTCAGGTAGCCCAGGTTGCTTCAATAGAAAACCCACTTAATCTCTCCCCTGGTACAGCTGACACATACACATACACATACACACACATACATGCATACACACACACAAACACACCGAATTTCTAAAAAAGTACAAAAGCCTTTTATGGCACAGAGGGGTGAGAAGGCTAACTGATGGGGAATTTAAGTCTACACCTTTTAGGAAAGCCGGCTGGTCTGAGAAGATGCCCTCCAACTCCTCCATTAACACCAACATGTTACTGAAGTGACAATCTAATCTCGTGGGTCCACCTCCTTAGCTTGGATCTGACTATCCGGCCTGGGTCCTTCTGGTTTCTTATCCCGAGCTTCCTTCCAAGCAATCCCTTTGGGGTATTGTGTCGTAAAAATATCCCAATAAAGAGGAACACAGACAAACCACAAACGATAATCCTTACTTTAAGATTCAGAGGTTTATTTCATGAACAATTTGGAACATGAACAGCCGTCATAACACAACTTAACATCAATAACCCATTCCAAGGAGGTCCAGAGACAATAGCTAGGTCCAATAAGGAGTAGCTACGGCCAGTGGCACCCAACTCATCCCAAGACATTCTTTTTATACCTTTTGGCATAAAAGGTCACAACTTACTTCTTTGTTCTTTCTTACTGACAGAAAGTCTCCACATATACCCGTGTTCATCTCGAACCTCTATCCATCGGCTACTTTCCATTCCTTATTTCTCATGGTTTTGTCCTTCTATGTCCAAATATATTGATAAAGCTACATACTTTGGAAAATCATGTTTCAACAATTAGCAACAGCTCAGCAGGATTACAAATAGTTCTGGTACATTTTGAAATCATCCTATCTAAAACTTTGGTTCATGTCTCTTTCTTCTGGGACCTGCTATCATCCAAAGGCCTTATTGAATCTGAGAGATCAATAGCCTATATTTTTGTTTCCCACAGTCGCCACTTCTTGTTCGTAAGAACCAGGGGTGAAATCCAGCAGTTTCTGACAGGTTCTGGAGAACCGGTAGCGGAAATTTTGAGTAGTTTGGAGAATGGGCAAATACCACGTCAGGCTGGCCCAGAGTGGGGTGGGAATGGTGATTTTGCAGTGTCCTTCCCCTGCCACATCCACCAAGCCATGCCCACAGAACTGGTAGTAAAAAACAATTGGATTTCACCACTGGTAAGAACAACACAAAATGAATCATACAAAGCAATATCTAGCAATATAATAGAGCCGAGGTGGCGCGGTGGTTAGAGTGCAGCACTGCAGGCTACTTCAGCTGACTGCTAGGTGCAGTTCAGCAGTTCAAATCTCACCGGCTCAAGGTTGACCTCAGCCTTCCATCCTTCTGAGGTGGGTAAAATGAGGACCCAGATTGTTGGGGACAATGTGCTGGCTCTATAAACTGCTTAGAGAGGGCCGTGAAGCACTATGAAGCGGTATATAAGTTTAAATACTATTGCTATCTGCATGTAAGATACCTTATATCAATTATGGCAGTAAGTTCAACGTCCTTCACTTGAGATGAAGGAGGACAGCTACTTTGATTAAAAGGCATTTCAGCTAGGCAAGGGATAAGAGGGGATAGACAGGCTGAGCATTTGAATGGTGGGACGTGCAACCCTAAATACAGCATGGTACTGAAGAGGAGCAATGTAGCGATAGACTGCAGGCATAAGACCTCTCCTAATGCAGGCTGTTTCTTGCAGTCATCACTGGGCTTCTATGAGCTGGTCTTTTGTTACTCGATGCTGGTGTGGCTTTGGCTGAAGGTTGTATGGAGAGCGGGGGCAGAGGTTACTAGCACTTGCCTCCCTGCTGGGCAAAGCTTTGGTCTTTGCCTTGTAGCAGTCAGGTGACATGAGCTGAGGGGCTTCCTCGTCTGGGGCTGGTACCTTCTTACAGTGCGAAGCAGGCACCCAGGAGGCCAGATGTTGACACTTCACAGCAGGAGTATGGTCAAGATGAACTGCAATGGACCAGGGGTGAAATGCTACTGGTTCGGACCGGTTCAGCTGAACCGGTAGTGATGGCGGCACTAAGCTCCGCCCACCCACCCGGTCATTGTTACTTCCTGGTTTTAACCAGGAAGTAACCTATTTCTTACTCCACGTGCTTAGAAGGGTTTGCGCATGTGTGGAGGGTCCAACCGCACATGTGACACATGCATGCGCATGCATGCACTTCTGAATGTGGTGCGTGCACTTCCAAACCGGTAGGGAAGGTAAGTAGATTTCACCCCTGCAATGGGCCCTTCCAATGGGGAGCCAGGCAATTCTTTCGTTGACATTCCGTCACCAGTTCCTAATCACCAGGTGCCAAGGAGTGGCAAGGGATGGTCTCCACATTTTACACTGAAAGTTCGCAAAGTTTGGTACAAGTTTGCATGGTGCCATCTAGGATGTCTTCACCAAATCATAGACGTAACCATTCTAGACCAGGAGTCCCCACCCCATCACAAAGCAAGAACATCCAACAGAAAATGAGCAGGGGAGGAGAGAGGAGAAAAAGGCAACACACATTAATCTATGACTAAGGAATGTCCTTCTAGACCACAGGTCAAGGGAAAAAGGCCTTCCTTATCCACGGAAAAGTGGTCAGGCTCAGTCGCTTGTGGTTCCATTGATGCTCAGCATCGCAGTCCTACACTGATCGCACTCCGCTTGTGCCCTAATGGCAACACACTCAACAACACTGGAGCTCATTGTATTTGTATTAGTAGTTGCTTACCGATCTAAGGGCAGGTACTTCACATTGGGTTTCCTTTCTTCCTCCTCCTCCTCCTCCTCCTCCTCCTCCTCCTCCTCCTCCTCCTCCTCCCCTCCTCCTCCTCCTCCTCCCCCCTCCTCCTCCTCCACCTCCTCCTCCTTTTTTCTGCTATCATCTGCGATCATCCAAAGGCCTTATTGAATCCGATAGATCAATAGCCTATATTTTTCTTTCCCACAATTGATAGACCCTCCAGGTGGACATGAGCTTAGATGGGTCCAGAACTGGATGGGCACCTGTTGACGTTGCTGAGTGTGGCATGAGATGGTATCTAGATCAGTGGTGGGTTGCTCCCTGTTCACACCGGTTCGCAAGAACCGGTAGTAAAAATTTTTAGAAGTTTGGAGAACCGGTAATAATATTGTCTGGCCATGCCCCCGAACTGGTCCCCGGCCCAGTTGCCGCTTGCTTACCCCTGTTACCCGCTTAACCTCTTTGGCTGAAAAAAAAAATGCTTTTAAAAGTTAAAAAAAAAGCCTCTAATTATTGCACGGCTCAGCTGGGATCTCAGTAGCTTCTAAAAGCATTTTTTCCTGCAACCTCTTCGGCCAAAGAGGTTGTAGGGAAAAAAACATCCCTTTAAAAGCCTCTGGTGATCCCAGCTGACTTGCCTGATCGTCAGAAGCTTCTAAAAGAATTTTTTTCTGCAACCTCTTAAGGTTGCAGAAAAAATGCTTTTAAAAGTAAAAAAAAAAAGTTGGCCACGCCCACCCAGTCACATTACCACCCACAAGCCACGCCCAGAGAACCAGTAGTAAAAATTTTTAGAACCCACCCCGATCTAGATGGCATCTGATGTTGTTGCAGAACGTGGCATGAGATGATATTGAGGAGACTGCTGTGGGACATCAACCACGCACCACCTCACTGATGAAATCTAGCTGGTTGAAAGGAGTCCTAAGAGTTTCAGAAAACGAGAAAAATACAGACGTGTTCAACAAGATTTGACCCCACTCCCACCCTCCTTGTCTCTGGTTTGAAGTACATTGATCTATTGGAGGTGACACGGGTGAAATCCAGCAGGTTCTGACAGGTTCTGGAGAACCGGTAGCGGAAATTTTGAGCAGTTTGGAGAACGGCAAATGCCACCTCTGGCTGGCCCCAGAGTGGGGAGGGAATGGAGATTTTGCAGTATCCTTCCCCTGCTACGTCCACCACGCCACATCCACAGAACTGGTAGTAAAAAAAATGGATTTCACTACTGAGGTGACACGATAGTGAAACGCAAGCAGGACACGGGAAAGAGAAGGGGTTGAGCAGGATCTGGCTGGTTTTGTTAGAGCTGGCCATGATGCCTTTGATAGATATCTTCTAAAGAGGAAAGGTTCTCAGATGTCCACCTGCCTAATAGACAGAGATGTCTTCCTGTCCTCTCTTGAATCTATATGCCTGAGGGCAACTTCTGGAGACTCTCAACCAGTCTCCTCATGTCCATCACGGATTGCATCGTCTTCAGCTCCTGTTTTCCTGTCAGGATACGCAAGTCCTCGTCTTCTGGCATGGAGAGTGCGACGGGTTTCAGTGCGATTTCCCGCAGATTCTCCAGACACTGACAGGATTGATCCAGGGAGGTCTTTATGCCGAGTCTGATCTCATCAAACTTCTCGTCAAGGCTTTTGATTTTTTCTTCCAGAGTATTCTTCTTGGCCTTGGCCTCTTCATACTGCCTCTTCAGCTCTGTGTGGAACTTTCTCTCATAGATGATTTTAGTTTTCTCGTAGTGAGACTTCCACGCATGGCTCGACGAACAACAGCGCCCCGGACAAATGAGACACTTTGCTTCGTTGTTCATAGCGTCACATCGCTCAAATCTCCCATCATTGTGACAATTGTAATGGCAAACTGTGGAACACGACGGACAGTACATTACGGGGCCCTGTACATGTTCTTTCGCGCACTTTCCAACTTTATACTCAAAGTTTCGACTGGCTAGTACATTGATTGTGCATTGCTGCAAAGCTACCTGGATCTCTTTCAGTTCCTCCAGCTCCATCAGACTGGCTCGGAGTTTGGTCTGGAGCCCTTCCAGAGCGGTGTCCAATGACTGACGTTCCTTGAGGACCTTCATGGTCAAGGTTAAGTCTTTAGCTTCCAGCATCTTTAACGAGTCAAAGAAATCCTTCATGCTCTTGGTGCTCATTTTCCAGAACATTTTGGCAACAATATTAGGGCTTCCTCCATTTTCTCGGGGAGCAAAGAGGGCAGAATGGTTGAATCTGAAGTGCAGAGGGGTTCCCGACTCATCCTGAGCACATGGCAGATCAGCTTCCTTGAGGGCCTCCAGGACAGGTGGGGTCCCCCCATCCGCAAAGGTGATCAGGAGTTGGATGTTATCCTTCATGTCTTTTCCCAACATGGAGAGCATGGAATCAAAGATGCATTTCTGGGTGTGGGTTGAATTTGAATGGGCAAAGAAGGCCTCAGCCACCAAGCAGATGGCATCCATGTGGTCAATGCCCCCTGGGGTGGAGAAAAACTCCAGGAGCTGCTTCTCCAACAATTTGTCTTGCTCTGCATCTCTTCTGCCTCCAAATCCTGGCGTGTCAATGATTGTGAGAGAATAGGGAATTCGGAAGCCCTTCTGATGGTTCACCATGTAGGCTGTGACTTCAGACATCCTGCTTCCAGCTTCGCTTCTCTGGGTGGTTTCATGAATGAGTTTGAATCTGAAGTTATCTTCCCACTGGACACCCAGGATATAATTGATCATCCCGTTGATCAGAGTGGTTTTTCCACACCCTGTTGCTCCCATCACCAAGATCACTTTGTTGGGCACTTCCAGGTTCTCCTTTCCAAGCTGGTACATGAGACATGGTGTGGAGGCATCTGAGGGGACTTCCTTCAAAGGAAGGGTGAACACTAATGGCTGTTTGTCCTCCACCAGGGAGCTTTCCTGAAGGAACTGGTGGGCTATGTTTCCTCCATCTTCCTCCTCCAGTAATGTGGAGACCTCCAACTCCACACTGGGGCCACTGAGAGCTCCATTATCACACACAGCTGACACCCGTATTCTATACATCATTTGGGGCTTCAGATCTTCAATGGGATAAAATTCTGTTTTTCTCCCAGTCCTTTTTTCAGTCCATTGGTCCTTACCAGCTCCAGCCTCCACCATTCTGTACTCCACCTTGTACTCCTTGATCACAACTCCGGAGGCAACGATGCTGGGACTCATCCAGGCCACAGATATGACAGAGGATGCCGCAGTGACCATTCTTAATTCCTCAGGAGGGCTGGTGGGAAGGGTCTTTATGGGTGGGCTCAGGTCACTGGTTTTACTAAGGCCTACCTTGCAACAGGCAGTGTACTGGAACTGGTACTCTGTGTTTGGAGGCAGATCTTTCAGCAGGAACATCTCCCTGGTGTCCTCTGTCTTCATGGTCTTCCAGTTTTCTTCTCCTGCAATCTTGTACTCTACCAGATAACTGGAGATTGTAGCCTTTCCATATTCAGCTGGCTGAAACTTCAGTTGAATGCTGTCGTGTCTCAGTTCACTGATCAGGAATTGGAGTGGTTTTGAGGGCAACTCAAAGTTCTTGCTGACCAGCTCTCCATCTTCATAAAGGTATATTGAGGCTCCTGGTGTGGCCACTTTTGGAAGTGAGGCCACGACAAAGCGGACCTTCTCATTAGATTGGTTGATACTGAAAAAGTCTCTGATGGATTTGGCAGCTTGGCGAGCATTGCGGGTCCTCTCCTTGTCCTCAAACCAGGGCATGTCTTCCTCCTGCCTCCTTGTGGACTTAGCTGATTCTTGCAAGAATTGCTCCTGAAGCCACTTTTGTAAGCTCAACAGAAATGTCTCCTCTTCATGTAAAGAAGTGAATGTAAAGGAGACCACATGTACATTCTGGGGGTCCAGAACTATTTCTTCCAGTTTGTTCTGAGATGAGATAACTTGTATTTCACTTAGAATAGTCAGATAAGATTTGACAAAGTTCATTTCTCTTTTTTTGCTGTCCAGAAATTCGCGGAGTCTTTGGCTGTTGAAAGGCGACTGGTTGATGGACATCAAGATGTCCACCAGAGTCCCTTCCTCCTGCCCTCCTCCCCGGATGGAAGGCAACATTCTGGCCAGCTGTTTCTGGAAAGTCTGCCTGTGTTGCTTGCACAGATCCTTGAACTGCTGGATCTTCCTCTGGATCTCAGGGAAGGTTTCAGCAATGGGATTCTTGGCTAGATCGTTGCTTTGCATCTTGTTTTCATTGAGTTCCTCCAAGATCTTTTCGGCATCAAAGATCAATGTTAGGCTGATTTCTCGGACCATCTTAGCTGCTCTGGTGTCCAACTTGGTCAGGGGGTACAGCCAGACCCTCATAGGCACAGCCTTCTCCCCATGTTCCCCTAACAATTTTGGGAGAGTTTCATAAACTTTCATGGCATCTTGGAAAGTCACTGGATTTTTCTCCAAAGAAAAGTCTCCATGGAACTTGCAACTAAACTTCAGAGCATTCTCTTTCTCCTTCTCAGTCAGTTTGACCTCTGCTTCTCCCGTGATGGATATCAAGTTCTTGACTGTAAGCTGGAGACTTCCTTGAATATCTTTCACCATCTCTGTTGAAGAAACTTCTCGGTCAAAGACAAAAAAGGCCTGGGCTCCATAGAGGATGGCGGTGACCACATGGGTGGCTGTGCCATGATCAAAGACAGCTGGGTAAGAGATATTCTGGATTCCTAGGTGGCTCATTGTCAGCTGTTCATACTTGGTGGTGGTTTTGTACTGTACAGTGACTCTGGCCTGTTGTTTGGACTTCTTTTTGTCATGCAGATACTTGGCCGACCCTCCCACTTCAACCAGCCCTCCGAGGAAACTGGCCTTGAGGGAGGCTGAGATGTCCAGGGCGGAGCTCTTATCATCTATGCTATCGGATGCAATGATTTCAGATTCTGTCTTGGGCTGAGGCTTGATGGTCAGGTCCTTCTGAAGAGAGCTGTAATCCCAAAGGGTGACCCCTGCACAAAATAGAAGAACAAGGTCATAAATTGAACACCATCTTCTAAAACAACTGTAGCTAGACAAAGGACCTCCAGAGAGATGGGACAAGGAAGACATCATTTCCCCTGGTGAGTTCCCTCATTTGTTCTCTCCGGCCATCACCAGAGATGCTTCCTTCCCATTTTGCAAAATACCGCAAAGTCCAAAGGCTTTTGACAGAGTAGAGACGAAAGGGAACCTCTTGATTTCCAAAAAGATCTCCAACTACCTTGTGAAACCACGTCATTCATCAAGCTTCTCATTTCAGACCTACCCCCCGAGAAAAGCACTAGCACCACAACCTGAGAATTTCACCCCTCACTTCAGCTCCTTGGAAACTTCACTCTTTTTTAAAGCTATTTTTCAAATCATTTCACTGACATTAGTTTGGAAACCTACCCTCTGGTTGGTAGTCAATTACGGCCCTGCTGAGTGCCTGGTCCACAGCAGGGCTGGTGGGATGGATACACATTCCCAACTAGAAGCTCCTACTTAGTTAGCTGTTACTAGTAGGCCATGTGCCCAGGAGGTCAACTCTGTCCCTGGGCTGAGCCTTTGTATCTCTGGCAGTGCCCATGTCCTTCCCTCCCAACACCCATCAATCTCTCCTCCAGCTCCTACCTGGGATGAGGGCATCCTTACGACAGTCGTAAAGCATCCCCAGCTGGAAAGGGCGACCCAATGCTGAGGTCTCAATGGCATCCTCTGTCTGGGCCATGCTCGGTTCCTGCGTGTCGCTGACTCTTTTACTGACCTGCAAGAGACAAGAACCATCCATAGGAGGCCATGACTGAATGATGTCTCTATGAGTTGTGCTGGGGACACTTCATACCCCTTCCTGAAGCCCCTTCCCTGGGTTTCTCCCCCACTTCTCCAACACCGAAAGTCATTCCAAGAAAGGGCCTTTGGGTACACCGACCAAAGACCACCTTTGTAAAGAGTTTGGGGAAGGGCATTCCTGTCAGGGAATTGGGTTGCCGGAGTCCAAATGGAGTCAGAGACACTTACACTGAACATGGTTTCATGTAAATGAATATCTTCATGGTCAATAAGAGAGGCAACCAGGAGCATTGTTCGGTAAATCAACACCACAGGAACATCATGAGATAAATCTTGGAGAGCAGACAACAGTGGTCCCCAATCTTTTGGACACTGGGGACCGATTTCGTGGAAGACAATTTTTCATGGGGAGCAAGGGTTGGGGAGGATGGTTTCACATGCTACCTGGATTCCACAGATGCACAGATGAAGCTTTGCTCACTTGCGTGGAGCAGTTCTTAACAGGCCACTGATCGGTATTGGTCCACGGCCCTGGGGCTGGGGAACATTGGCATACAGGACCCCAAGGCATAAAGGTGGGAAACAAGGAAAATCCCCCTTTTCACTCAAGGCAAACAATCACAGCTCCGATTGCCTCATGCAGTAGCTAGCTCACTTTCATCCAGGGGTCCCCAACTTGTGTTGGCGTGGGCCGCGCAGGCACTAGAGATTTCATGTTGTGATTCCATGAGCACAATCCCCCAATCGCGGTAGTGTTGCAGTGTTGTGCTGGTGCTATGATGGCGTAAGAGCTGTGCAGGCTCTACCATCACCATGAGCACACACTCCCCCCACTCACACTAGCATCACTATGTTGCGCTGGCACTATCGTTGCCATGAGTGCACACTAGGGGTGAAATGCTCCCCCGGTCTGAACTAGGAGCATTTCAACCCTGCTTTGAATGGTCATTAAGCATAACCAAGAATACACAAAGGCAGAAGCGTATCCCCCCCCAGGATAAAACACCCAGACACAAACTGAACAATGTGGTATATGCAGTACAAAGCAGTGAGCCATGTGCAGATCTTTACATTGGGGAAACAAAACAGCCACTTCACAAACACATGGCACAACATAGGAGAACAAACCCATCCGGACTAGATTCAGCAGTCCATCTGCCTTTGAAAGACAAGGGCCACTCTATGGAAGAGAGCAAAGTCCACATTTTGGACAGAGAGGCCCACTGGTTTGAAAGAGGGGTGCAAGAGACCATCTACATCCATACTGAACAGCCCTCTCTTAACAGAGGGAAAGGGATATGACATAATCTATCTTCAGTCTACAACACGGTCCTTTCAGCTATTCCAACAAGGCCTCACACCCATTTGCACCACTCAGGTGACCCTGAGGACACAGACGAACCTCCAGGTGCCCTCAACAACCATTTATTTATTTATTTATTTATTTATTTATTTATTTATTTATTTATTTATTTATTTATTCGAGTATATATTAGATAATATATATATAAGCATGAATTGAATACATAAAATGAATACAATTAAAGGGAACATTAGGACAGGGATGGTAGGCACGCTGGTGCTTTTATGCACACCCCTTACAGACCTCTTAGGAATGGGGTGAAGTCCACAGTAGACAGTCTAAGGTTAAAGTTTTGGGAATTTTGGGATGAGACCACAGAGTCTGGTAGTGCATTCCAGGCATTGACCGCTCTGTTACTGAAGTTATATTTTCTGCAGTCGAGTTTGGAGCAGTTCACTTTAAGTTTGTATCTATTGTGTGCTAGTGTATTGTTGTGGTTGAAGCTGTAGTAGTCATTGACAGATAGGACATTGTAGCAGATGATTTTATGAGCTACGCTTAGGTCATACCAGAATTTCAAGTCTGGTGGCATAAGGTATTTTATTGCAAGCAGAGGAGTGGAGGACTCTTCTTGTGAAATATCTCTGGACTCTCTCAAATGTATTTATGTCTGATATGCGGTGCGGGTTCCAGACAGATGAGCTGTATTCGAGAATTGGTCTAGCAAATGTTTTGTATGCTCTGGTTAGTAGTGTGATATTACCGGAGAAATAGCTACGCAAGATTAGGTTAACAACCCTTAATGCCTTTTTGGCAATGTTGTTACAGTGGGCTTTGGCACTTAGATCATTAGATATGAGTACTCCAAGGTCCTTGACAGAGTGAGGGTCATCTACAAGGTCATGTCCACTCAGCTTGTATTTTGTGTTCTTTTTTTTTTTTTTTTTAAATTTGATTTATATGCTGCCCTTCTCCGAAGACTCAGGGCGGCTTACAATGTGCTCAGCAATAGCCTTCATACTTTTGTATATTTATACAAAGTCAGCTTATTGCCCCCACAAACTGGGTCCTCATTTAACCTACCTTAGAAAGGATGGAAGGCTGAGTCAACCTTGAGCCTTGGAGAGATTCGAACCCTGCAGTAATTGCAGGCAGCTGGTCTTAATAACCAGCTTAATAACAGGGTGCCTTAAACCCCTGTACTACCACTTTCTCCTCTCCATAAAAAGAAGTTCTTTATAAGTAATAACCTCTTGTTTTTGTTCTATGCTTATATTTTCTATCACGTGTCTAGGAATTGCCCATACAGGTATTTTATAATTCAGCTTATACTGATACTTTTTCCAGACACACAACAAAGCATTTCTAAGTATATGACTTTTGAATGTCTTGTCCACTTTCTTATCATATAATAAATAAGCATGCCATCCATATAACAAGTCGTACCCTTCTATAGTCAGTATTCTTTCTTCACTTAAATTAAACCAATCACTAATTGTTGAAAGAACAACTGCCTCATAATATAATCTTAAATTAGGCATTTTAAGACCCCCTCTTTCACGTATATCCTGTATTACTTTTAACTTTACCCTGGGTCTTTTACCCACCCATACAAAATTATTAATACCTTTCTGCCATTCCTTGAGATTTACATCTTTTTTAAGTATTGGTATCATTTGAAACAAAAATAAAAATCTTGGCAAAACATTCATCTTTATTGCTGCTACTCTTCCCAGTAAAGATAATTGTAACTTTTTCCAATTTTCCATTTCTTTCTGAACTTTATGCCATAACACTTCATAATTATTTTTATATAATTTCACATTTGTAGCTGTAATAAACACTCCCAGATATCTCACCTTTTTTACTATTTCAAAGCCCGTTATTCTTTCTAACTCTTCTCTTTCCTCCATAGTCATATTTTTGTTATTATCTTTGTCTTTCATTGATTTACTTTAAATCCCGATACTTTTCCATATTGATCAAGTATATCCCTCAGATATATCACCGAATGTGTTGGTTGTGATAGAGTAACAACCAGGTCATCTGCAAATGCTCTTAATCTGTAATCTTGCTGTCTTATTTTAATTCCCTTGATTTCACTTGAACTAAGTATTTTATTCAATAATAGTTCTAAAGTTAAAATAAACAATAATGGAGATAATGGACACCCCTGCCTTGTCCCTTTTTCAATTTTAAAAATTTCTGTTAAACTACCATTAACTATTATTTGGGCTGTTTGTTGTTGATATATTGCTTTAATTGATTGTGTAAAATATTCCCCAAATTACATCCTTTCTATTACTTTAAGTAGAAATTTCCAATTCAATTGATCAAATGCTTTCTCAGCATCCAAGAAAAAAAGTGCTGCAGGGACCTAGTTGTTTCTCTCCAGATATTCCAATAAGTCAACAATTTGTCTAAAGTTACACCTCATTTGTCTCCCTTTTATAAATCTTGACTGGTCATTATGGATCATTTGCTGCATAACTATCATTAATCTATTTGCTAATATTTTGGCAAAAATCTTGTAAATCTTAAAAGCGATATTGGCCTATAATTTTCTGGTTTGTTACAATCTTGATCTTCCTTTGGTATCAATGAAATAAAAGCTGTTCTCCATGAAGGAGGCACTTCCCCTCCAGACAATATTTTATTAAATAAATCCCTAAGCGGTTCCACCATTTCTGCTTGTAAATTTTTATAATAAACAGCTGTCAAACCATCTGTCCCTGGGGCTTTACCCGTTTTTAACTCTTTGATTACTGAAGAAATTTCCTCAGAAGTTATAAGTTGATTCAATCTTTCCCGTTGCTCCAATGTAAGTGCAACAATATTCTGCTCCTGTATGTATCTCTCTATATCTATATCTTGAATTGAGTCACTAGTATATAACTTTGTATAAAACTCTAAAAAAGCTTTCTTAATCAAATTCTGTTGATATACATCTTTACCTCTATATTCAATCTTAGCAATTAATCGTGATTTCTGTTTTTTCCTTATTAGATAAGCCAACCATCTACCTGGCTTATTAGCATTGCAAAACGTATTATGCTTAGCATATTGTAAGTTAATAACCACCTGGTCTGCTATCAACATTTTAAACTGCCCTTGTAATATATTTATTGCTTCTTTTGGTCTCTTGTCTTGTGGATTTAACATAAGTAGTTGCTCTTTCTTTTTTATTTCTTCCTCTAAATCTTTCTGCTTTTTCTGCTGTCTAAGTCTATGTCTAGTACTCATATGTATTAAAATTCCCCTCATATATGCTTTACTTGCATCCTATACCATCTCCATAAATGTACCCTTATGCATATTCATAACAAAAAATTCTTTCATATGTCTTTTGCACTCCTTCACATTTTCTTCATATCTAAACAAATTCTCATTTAACCTCCATGACCGCCTATCTCTCTTTTCCTGATCTAATTCCACCCAAACCGGGCTATGATCAGACAATATTCTTGAACATATCTTTGTCTTCTTTACCCTAGAAAGGAAGTCATTAATAATTAGTATAAAATCAATCCTAGAGAAGGATTGATGTCTGTCAGAGAAAAAAGTAAAATCTTTTTCTTCATTATTCCGCTCACGCCAAATGTCTCTCAACTCCAAATCTTCCATCATATCAAAAAAAGTTTTAGGAACGCATGACTTGAAATATTTTGAGA